AAATCGCAATGATTCAAACTTCCTCAATGTGTCAAACGATCTGGCTACCGCTGCAGAGAACGGAGAATTCACGAATATCAGGGTGTTTCATGAGCTGCTCATAGATTTGTTTTACAACGTAACACGGTCACTTACACCACTCACTGTGCAAAATGCTGGTAAAGCGCTGCAATATTGTCAGGTACGAACTTCAAGAAGATCCATTGTTAAGAGAAATACTTGTTCTCATTGGCCAGTTTAAAAGTTTAAAATCTAATAGAGCACAAAATAGGAATAAATTATTGGCTATTTAAGATGTCATCAATCGGAGCGTAAAAATTGAAATAAAGTTCAGATGATGCGAGAATGTGAGTAGAAACATGGCCGCCAATATGGCCGCCATTGAGTTGTTTTGGTGAATGAAAAGGTTTTGCCATCGTGATGTCATGTGAAATCATGCTATAAATAGAATTTTGCAGAGGAGTATGAAGATATTAATCATTTGGTCCTGTTTTCAGCATTTCATCAAAACTCTTCTATCATCTCCGATTTACGAGCGAAAAACCTCATTTTGTGGACGACCGAAATTGGTAAGTAACAACTACTGTGATCTTAATAACAATAATATTTATTGATTTGTATTGCGCAAATAGCAATCCAGAGAAAAAAGTTTTCACATGCGCATTACATTAATCTTGGTTCAAAAGAAACAATGTGGGCCTCAGATAGGAAACTCGTGATTGAAATGAACTGTTACTATTGTTTTTGTTGTTTTCTTTTCGCAGAAAGTGGGCTGGTTCTAATTGATTCAAAGTATTTATTATTATTTAGCAGTGCGACCTGCCTATGAAATTAGAAAACATATGCTTATTTTTTTCTTTATTTTTATGATTAATAATCCACCTGTTTTCGATTAACCATCACGAAACCATGACCAACAAAATATCTACGGTAACTCAGAATGAAGTACACCTTGGGAAAACAAAAACCAGACCTCAAGCGCGGCAAACTTTAGTTTCCAGGCTACGCTGGCTTTCAATATTACATCTAATTGGTTGAGAGGGGGGCAGGAGTGTTCTTTTCTTTTTTAAACCAATCACCAAGCGTAAGGAGTAAGATCGTTGCTTGAGTAATTTTCCACAGTTGATTGATCAAAATTTTGTTTTAAAGTAATAAATTCATGTTACCTGAATGTAAAAGTGTAATGTTTGTTTCCCATAGGCTTCTGATCGAAACTCTCATGTTGATAAGGCATTAGAGTTTCTCCGTCAGGCTCCCAATCATACCGAAGCCTACCGTTTTGGCCAGATAAGATTTACTCCAGTCAGGGAATATACGTAAGTGACCATAGCGTTGCTGATTTTAGCAGTATTGCTGGTTTTAATTTTCCCACCATCAATAAAACCATTGAACAAATAAATTCAAAAATCAAAGAGATAAAATAAGATGAATATTTAAATATTCTCGCAAAGATTCAGATCTGTGCGATGTTTTGTACGGGAGATATTCAAAGAAAGGTTTCCTCAAATTTATAAGACTTTGTGAAGACGCCATGTTAGTGTCTCTCTGAGGGACAAAAACATAGGGCATCGAGTCTTGCTATAAATTAAAAAGCCGGTAATCGTCTTCTGAGGGGTCATAAACATCTATATGAGTACTAATTCTCATATAGATGGATTAGGACTGTTCAGATTTCGAAATCTCAGCAGATAAGTCACCTTTTTAACTTACGTGACAGTATGTTATCATGTCACGCAAAAGCTTAAAAATTCAACCTTGCTTTATCACAAGACAAAAAACCAGATCAGACTGAAAATCTGTGAAAAGATAAGTCTTCAACTGTTTGATTAACTGACTAAACTAAAATTTCATTAGGACTGATAATTCCTTATGTTTAATTCTAATGACGTCACGGGAAAACCAAGAATACGGGACGCGTGTCACATGTGAACCTTATAATGGCTGTGCCCACCGTAGAGTCTCTGTGTCTCGGTGGTTGAGCGCAAAAGTGCGGAAACCGAAGGCCTGAAGCTCGATTCTTCAGACACTTATCCCACTCTCGTGATGAGACGGGAAAACGTGTTTCTTTATGAAAGTATTGTTGTTTTCGAAAGGATCTTGTGTGGGCACAAGAAGTTAAATATACAAGTAGAACTCCTCTATTTTCACTCTAGAGTCACCATATCGACTGACTTCAAAGTTAAAAATTCGAAGTGGATAATACTTATGCATTCTTCACCCCTGACAGCAGCCTTAAAATCAAACAAATAAAACTTTAAAATGTGAAGGTGTAGTCTGATCGTCCGGGTGAGTGTAGTCCTGAGAAGGACTGTTGTCGGTGGCAGTGACTGACGTTTCGACAACCTGTGCGGAAGTCATCATCAGAGTCAAGTGAGTGATTGTTGTCAGTAGAATGTTCTTATTCCAGTTCGTGTGAAATGATCGGTTGGTTTTGCCGTGATGTTATTGGCTGTAAGACTCAAGTGACGTAAGTCGTTCGTGATTGGTCTGTTTCGGTCTGTCGGTAAAGCTAGGTTGTTCTTTTTCGGTCGTTTGTGATGTTTATGTCGTGAATGAGTCGTTTGTATGGGGCGGGTAGTTGTTGACATCTGTTTAGGGGAGTCTGTTCTAAGTTAGTAAACCAGCTTTCCAGAGTCAGTCGTTGAAAATAGTCAGTGCTGTAGGTTAGGCATTGCGCAGAGTCCCAGTCAATGTTGTGGTTGGTAAGTCGATGGTGTTCAGCAATGTGATTGCTGACATCACCTTTCCTCGTCGCCCGTCTGTGTTCAGTCAGTCTTGTTGTGAGGTTTCTGCCAGTCTCACCGATGTAGGAGGCTTGGCAGTCGGAACAATTGATCTTATAAATCGTTCCCTGTCTGTTCCTCGGTTCGTCTTTGTCTTTAACGTTGGTTAGTAACTGACGTAGTGTGGTGATGGGTTTGTGGGCGACGCGAGGAAAGGTGATGTCAGCAATCACATTGCTGAACACCATCGACTTACCAACCACAACATTGACTGGGACTCTGCGCAATGCCTAACCTACAGCACTGACTATTTTCAACGACTGACTCTGGAAAGCTGGTTTACTAACTTAGAACAGACTCCCCTAAACAGATGTCAACAACTACCCGCCCCATACAAACGACTCATTCACGACATAAACATCACAAACGACCGAAAAAGAACAACCTAGCTTTACCGACAGACCGAAACAGACCAATCACGAACGACTTACGTCACTTGAGTCTTACAGCCAATAACATCACGGCAAAACCAACCGATCATTTCACACGAACTGGAATAAGAACATTCTACTGACAACAATCACTCACTTGACTCTGATGATGACTTCCGCACAGGTTGTCGAAACGTCAGTCACTGCCACCGACAACAGTCCTTCTCAGGACTACACTCACCCGGACGATCAGACTACACCTTCACATGTTACCCCCGGGTTCAAACCATTTACTGCA